AATATTCATTAGCATGTTCATGCATTCATTGTTTTGCATATTTAATTTATTCTGCTTCCATAGTTTTGATAAAATATTTATGGTTATTTCAGGAAAATTTTGCAAGAACAAAATGAAATATTATTTGTGTATAATATTAATTAGAAATGAGAGGAAAAATACTATCAATTACTTTATATGACACGTGCATTTAATTTATAAACTTGTTCTTTGCAAGAGGATTTTATGATGTGCTTGCATGTCATCTCCATTAAAACTTATCCAATAAATTTAATCCCAGGCATTTTTGCTTTGTCAAAAATAGAAATCAAGTTAACTTCTGCATCAAGTCAATTATAGTAAAAAAAAATTTACAAATCTAAGAGTGATAAGATAGCGTGTAAAATCTGTACGTCCAGTAACCAAAATGGTCTAATAAACATGCGGAGAGTCTCAAAATTCTTAATTTCATTTTGGCACTGATTCCTAATCAATATTTATTATTTTTTGCTTTCATCATGGCAGGACTATCAACCCACTGCAGCTTGAGAAATCACACCTGTAGTGATATCTAAATATATTTAAAAAGTTTTTTATTATTAGTAATTAAATACCAAACATCATTTATGTTGATATTATGCTTGGCGATGATTACAGACTTCAACTAACTCTCTGTTGCGAAGTGTTGAGGAGAAATTTAACAGAAACTTCTTTTCATAAGCAAAAAATAGATTTTGTAAATGATACTCTAGGCCAAAAGATTATATTTAGTGTTATTTGAATTGTGAATAACTGATCTATTATTCACTAAACCCAAGGACCATTACTAAAGCCAGTTCAGCTACACCAGGCAGCAGACTTTAAGGAAGGCAAAATTTTTAGAATTTAGAAAGGTGCTGAGGAGCAAAATGAAGAAATGGCAAAATATTTACAATTTATGGAGACACTAGGCAGCAGAATTTCAGACCTGCAGAGACTGCACTGGCTACAGAGGCTGCTAGCACTGGCCCTAGATAAGCCTTATGGGAATTTATTTATTCAAGAATTATATAAGCCTTACATGTACAGAAAATAATTGTAAATATAATAAATAATTAAACTAATACCATTCAGGCTTAACTTCATCAGAGTGTTGCAGAAGCAACACAGATTTAGTGGAACGACATATGTTTAGTCACTAATCTCATGATATATTGTCAATAGTGTATAACAGATGCTAGTTAAGCTTTGTGATTACAGCCACAAATTTGAAGATTTTCAGATACAGTCAAAGTCTTTAATCCGTACTCGTCGGGACTTCGGCGATTTCTGATTATCGGTTTTTCCATATTATAGATCATAAATTTAAATCTGGTAAGATGGCATGCAGAAATTATAAAATTAAAAATATAAAACCGTAATTTATGAAGTAAAGAGCAATTATGATCTAGAAGGTATCAAAATTTACAAAAAATAAAAAAAGCTTAACCCTCTGACTGCTCAATTTGTGGACCGAAATCGCTTCAAAAATTGTGTAATTTTTTTTTTTTTTTTTTTTTTTTTTTTTTTTTTTTTTTTTTTTTTTGCGAATTTTAAATCTATATGTATTGGAGAATTGAAAAATGCATTTTTTCTTTCTAGAAAATATTTTTTATATAGATTTTTATGATGAGAAACTAAGTTGCCAGAAATACCAATTTTTAAATGTTATCACCAAAAAAAATTTTTTTTAATAAATTTCAGCACGAGATTCAATAAATCTAATTATTAATCTAATTAATAATTTAATTAAATAATCAAGATAATCGCTGAATGCTTTCGAGCAGCCATTTCTGTAAGAAAAAAAGCGGCAAAGTGTTGTGTTTGAGCAGTAATACCACGAGCCTTTAAACGCCCCAATTTAGCGGACAACTAACGATATTTGTTGTTCAAAACGTAAACTAAACGTCTAATACTGTATATAATTTATTTCTGTGGTCAAATGGGAAAAAAACAGGATGCGCTCATCAATAAAGGAAGAAAAACACATGCCCGCGGGATGAGCAGATTTTGCTACATTTGAGTTGCCCATGGAAATCGCGGGATAAGCAGCCAGAGGGTTAATATTGATTTATTTACTTTATTAAACATTTCTTTCAACATGCACATGCGTAAAGCATACATTACACATAGTCGAAATTAGAAAATTGCAATCAGAAAACTATTTGATGTGTATTCATGATATTTATAATGACGAGGAATTTGATTTAAATCATATCAAAGACGGAGTACATCGAGATGAATTATTACATTTAGTAAGGAATTATAAGCCAAATAAAATAAAAACATCTGCCCTGAAGATAAGTATAGTGCTGATAGATCAACTTCTCGATCATTGCGCGCCGCGATGTTTCCATCCCCCCGCAGAGCAGGGTGAAATTGTTAAACAGATTTCGTAATGGTTAGAGAAACAAAGGATATGCCTTTATCCATTTTTTTGCAGCAATTCCTTTTTTGTTTGATGGACATCGAAACATGCTTTCGATTTGTAGATCCTTTGGCAGCTCCAGAATCGAAAATTCTTTTTGACGTAATCGAAAGTTCAAGCTTACTTTTATAAAATTGCTCTAACAGTCTGCAAAAAATAATAACCCGGATCCAATTCTAAGATTAAGGAATAATGCAATCTGCAACATTAACTGAAATAGATAATTAGATAATTTTAGCTTAGCTTATACCGTCCGTTATACATTAAACGCGCATGCGTAAATGCTTTGCACATGCGCAGAAAGTTTGTAGCTTGAGGTCCGGATTATGGACATCCGGATTAAAGACTTTTGACTGTATAATTTTCCAATTAATGCAATTTCTGAAGAAATGTTAATAATAATAATAATATAAGATGATAAAACAGAAGATTTCATTTCATTGACAGTACCTAAATAATCAATTAACTAAGGAGCAGTGAAATTTGTAGTAGCATTCTAAATCCAGAAAATATCGCTACCATTAGAGAAAGTGACAGAGAGGTCGCTGAGAAGAAAAAAATTCGATTGACAATGTAGTGGGAATTAACAAGATTTGAACATGGGATCTTTGTAACTGAACAAGATTATTAAAAGTCATAACATAAGCCAACATAGAATATTAAAAGAATTATTAAAAGCAAATTAAACAACTGACTTGAAAAGAAGTGTTTAATAATGCAAACAAACATTTATAGGTTACCATTTATAGGAACCTTCTTTATTTATAGTAGATAGATGGCAGCTCAACACAAGCCAGTCCATAAATTTTAGCCATGTTTAGTTTTTTAAGACCCTCATTTTTCAAAGAAATCTTCCATATTTTTTTTAGGGTATAAAAGGAATTGTTCGAAAAGAAATTTCTATGCTATTTTTTTGGCTGCATGCTAATCTCCTTATTCTATATTAGTTTTAAGTTTTTACCTTGAAATCTTGCCTAAAATCAAATGGCAAACCTTAGGTGTGCCCAGACCGGGCTCACCGATAATCTAGGACAACTGAGAGTCTGTATTCTTTGTTACTCCGCATCTCATCGGTCAATTCATTGACAACAATGCTCATTTCACCACTCTTTTCGAAGTTCTGTTCAATCAGTGTGCCCACTTTAGGCACATCCACAGACTTAAACAATAAGTGCTATATTCACAAAATTTTACTTGTGTGCTTCTCTAGGCCTAATTAGACTGCTTACCTTTTTTTTTTTTTTTTTTTTTTTTTTTAAATCAAAACTTTAAAAGGTAGCGTGCCAGAAAGGGTTAATCATTCAACAGTTGATGTAATATCATATTTTTGGAAAAAATGCAATGCTTTCTTTTTCATCAGCCAAACTCTGTAGTTCCATTGCAGTTTGTTAAAAAATGTACTCAATGCAAAAACAAACACTAATGAGAAAAATGACAATCAGATTTGGAAGGTGGAAATCTGCATATACTCAAATGAATGTTTGCTTGACGCATACCCAAATTTTCACATAAAAAATTTTGGCTTTGTCATGAATTGCTGTGTAACTGTTTTGGTGATATAGTGTGCTCTAGTGAATACTTTTTGTGGGGAGGTTGTAATATAATGAAGGACTGTAACAGTTATTTTTCAGATATATTCGTTACTGAAATAGAGAGAAGACCATTTATTATACCAAGATACATTGTCACCAGTATCCAAATTGTGGTCTGAAGTTCCGTCATTGCCAAAGTTATCCCAAAGTTTCTGGTGACACTTAATATGCTACTTCCAAAATTTTTTCTATATTGTTGGCTAGGGCATAGGCCTGTTGTTTAAATTTACCTTTTTGCTCAAATGTCTTCTGAATAATGAGTCAAATGGGAGCAAAAGTTATTTATTGAATATAGAAAAGCTGTTGAAATTTTTTACACTAAATTTTTTCCCCTAAATTTCAGTAAATTTTAATTTATATTGAGGGTAAAAATCGTCAATAACAATTTTGAAATGTTTGACTCTTTTGTAAGATATTTTGAGATTCTTCATAAGTAAAAATGAAATTTATAGTGTAACTAAGAATACAATATTATTTCAATTTTAAAATCTGTACTCTAGGATCATTGAATACTAAAATAAAATACTCGCTCAAGTACTCATTGAAAATAATACAGTCTACTTGTATGCTTAAATGTTAGTTACTGTGAAAATATTAGAGTATTTTTAAGAATTGCTGAACTGAATATTTAAGACCAGTGTATGTTATGGGCTAAAGTAGCAAATCAGCTTCTTCTTGTTAACATAACTAAATAAAATTCAGGAGTCTGTAAAAGGATTAAGTTTGGCAGTGTGTCTGCAGGGGCCTCAACTATCTAAATCTGTCATAATTGAGTGATTTTTTGGCATCATATTAAAACATTTCATTTAGAAATTGATATTCATCTGTACTATTTGTACAGAGCAGTATTTGTTTTTAAATATTTAATTACATGAACTTATTACTGCTCATATAAGATGTCTGTTTAAGCTTATTATTGTGTCTACAGACCTGCTTGCATTTTTAACTGTTGCTTGATGTCCATATCTTTGGTATTGTTATAGGTTTTAGACTATCAAATGCTAAATGTGTATCTGTGATTGAAACTTGGAAAAAACTTCAACATTCAAATCTAGTACATTTGAGAGAGGTTTTTACAACTAAAGCATTTGGAGATAATTGTAAGTTTTTTTGTATGTATTCATTCTAACCTTCAATACTGTAATTTGCAAAAATGAATTAAATTTTGCATCTTATTTATGTAGTCATTTTAGATTTGTTGATTGATAAGTGTAATATTTAAAGATCAGTTTTAGAAACTCGGCTAGAAAAAAAGTTTGCCCAATGCTTAATCATGCTAAATTTTGCTTAAATTCTCATATTTTGAATAATAATTTTATAATTTAAATTTTTATATAAATTTTTAGATAAAAAAAATTAATTACCTAATTTTCCACAAGACTTGATTACTCGATTGCTAGTTTTATAGCATTTAGGATTAATCATTGACCAAAATAATTTTACTGAGGTTTAATTTTATGTAAACATACTTATTTGCATTTTAACATAGCTTCACCTTCCTTAAGAATTTGATAAACTACCTCTGTATGTATTATGTGCGACTTTTCCACTTGATTTTTTTAAAAAATATTATGGCATATTTCTTTGAGGGGGGGCGGACAAGTGTTACTAGTTTAGTCTTGCTTCTTTGCTTCTTTCGTGGTGGTAGTTGCCTTTATGACCATTGTGCAACTAATGTTTTACATCTAAGGGCAGTTTTTTTTTTTTTTTTTTTTTTTTTTTTTTTTTTTTTAAACTGCAATGGATTTTACGACTTGGTATTAGTCAAAAGATGAAGAAGGAGCTATTCTGTTTCTTTAAGAAAGAGTTTTTTTGACAAAGACTGTGTTTAAATAACCCTCATAAAACTGAATTGCAATTCCAGCTATAAGACTATGCAGCCTTCATTCATGCCAGGAAAAAAAGATTCATTGGAAAATGTTTTCTTTATTTTTTATATGATTCTTTGCATATAGTATAAGGTGTTAACATCTGTTTAACGTGCTTGCTTCAAATGAATCACAGCCCAACAGCTGATTAGAATAATTACATGAGGGAGATATGTACTATTTTCTTGCTGGCATGTCTAATATAAAATTAATGGATACAACAAAATTTCAGAAACTGAAACCTTTTTCACAAAAAGAAAGTGGGTGTATTTTTCCTCTGCAAATGGGTTTTAAGAGAAATTTTTCATGAAATTAGAAAATGTTTCCTTGTTGCTGTCTAAGTTGTTTTGTTTCATATCATTTCAAGCAGAAAGATGGAGAAATAAATAAACCAAAATGTGGCAGTATAAAGCTAAAAATGTGTGATATGGCTTTAACAAAAGTACCCATTTTTCTTTAATTGTATTTTTACTTTTAAGAAATTTTCATACCCAGCAAACCTTAAGCTGTTTTTGTAATTTCTTGATTTGCAATATGCTATCTTATATATATGCATCTGAACATTCTTTATCAAATATTAATTTATGAACTGATAATTATGACTTTTAAAGTAAACCATATAGTCCTCCCTTTGTGAATGCTGATATGTAACTGATTAATTCTCCCTTTAACTTATAATTAAGATTTGAAAATTTGTCGTGGGTGTTTTGTTATTAAAAATAGAGTATTAAAATTCATCTCTAAAATTGTCTATAAACTATCATATTCTAGAGAAAGAAATTTTATTATGAATATATATGTTCATTATTAGGTCTTGGATACCTTTAGAATGTATAAAATTCTGGCTCATGTGGCAGTTGTCAAACTACTGTTTGAATTAAAATTATTGCTATAATTTCTTGCGTTTTATGTTCTAAGACTATTAATATACAATTATCTTGTAATCTGGCATATTTGGAACTTAAGAAGTGCCAGATTGTCATTTATACCAGGTTATTGGACTAAAAAAGTAAGATGCTTCCAATTTTTATTGTTGAATGTATTGTGAGAAAGAAAGAAAGTTCATCTATTAATTCTAAAGGTCTTAATTTATGGGTGCCATACATTATTTTAAAATTAGGAAATCATTCTTCTGAAAACAAACAATTTTATATTGATAAATACATTTTTAAAGGAATGAACTTTTTCTTAAATCCTGTTGTAGGCTTATATTTAGATCTGTTTGCATTGAGACATATGCAACTTCATATCCAGTCAAGCATATACATAATATCTTTACTTTTAGAAATAGCACACTGAGAAATTTTTTAATTTTCATTCTGCTTTTTGATATTATATTGAGAGTTCCCAGTAAAATACTTAAAACTTCAGCCTTTTTTTCTAGTTTAACTAATAATATCCAACTTTTGTTAAATTGTTAAAATACTATGTTTCTCTATCAACATTTTATCAAGTTTTGAAAATTTTATAAATAAATGAAGGTAAAAAAAACAAATGATGTATAAATTTAAGGTTTTAAGCTAATGACTAACTGAAAATGGCAAAAAAGACAAAAACTAAGCCTTTCCAAATATTGCTAATTGTAATATTAGTTGTGCCATCTTATATCAGGAGTGTGTATGAAAATGTTGGACTAACTGCTGTTCTGACAATTGAATGCCAGATTATTGGACTTGTATGATTAAGTGTATATGAATATGATGAATGTATGCAAAAAATTTGCATTCTTATAAGCTGACTGTAATTTTCATATGTTTATCTTGACAGCTATGGTTTTTGTGCATGATTATCACCCTGGAGCTGACACTTTAATGAATCTCTACTTCAACCAACCTGCGACACCTATGTTGAATGGTTACTTACCAGGCTATTGTCCTGATGATAATCTTACAGCATCCTGCCTACCTGCTAAAAGTGGTGAAATGAAATTTTAATTTTATTTTGTAATGTAACCAAATTTAGTTTTTTTGATAAATAGCATGGATTATTTTTAAAATAATATTTTAGTCTGTGTTAGCAGTGATTTTATGGCAAATATTGAAATTTCTCTCTAGTAGTGATTTTTTGAGTAGCTGAGTATCACTATCTGCTGTGGTGATCACTTCCACAATGTATTCAACATTAGATTTAGATCCTTGCACATACCTTGCTTTAGTGATCACTTCCATGGTGTATTCAAAATTAGATTTAGATCCTTGCACATACCCTGTGCATCATGTTACAGAATAAAGAATATCATTTTTACAAAAATATAAAACTAAAAACAGATATCCATTTCTCACAGGCAGTACATGCACAGTGACATGATATAATTACAAAAACAGGTTGGCAAGTATTGCTATCTGTTGAACAAACTAGAAACCTATTTCTGACATATTCTTCCCACCTGGATTTACGGAGAGATAAATTCACACATCTGTTAAATATAATACATGCATAGTACAGAGTAAAATACTTCAGACAAATACTAGAGAACACTGATACCTGGTCGTGATGGACAAATAAGACTGGCTCTTATAAAAAAAGATACTTTTGAATTTCTGAGACCAATACAAAGACTGTACAAACTAGAGCTGTGAATAATCCAGTCCAAAAAGATATAATAGAAACTATTTCTCTGACTACCAGTAGTAATAGAACTGTGAACCTAGTAATGTGTCTGTGAAATGTAAAATTGTGTTTACCAAAATACTGTAATAAAATTCAAATACAAATTACCTGAAATGGCACCATATCGTACTCACATTTCCATTATGCTGAAAGGTTACACTAAACTTAGAAAAATAAAACATCAAATTGTAAAATATTCAAATAAAAACATTACATTTCACATATTGTTAGTTTATTACTAGACATATTACTAGTTTCATAGTTCTACCACTACTGGTAGTCAGAGGAATAGTTTCTGTTGTATCCTTTTGACTTGATTATCCAGCTTAAGTTTGTACAGTCTTATTTGTGCATCATGACCAGGTATCAATTTTATCACAGGCCCCATGTTCCAAATTGCATATTTCTTATTATTGCTGTCTTCCAACAAAACAATTTAAGCCATTTGGAGAGATTTAGCCATAGAACTTTTAATAGATTGTTGACATAGTTCTCCTAAATACTAAATAAATATACTATATAAATATATGTTCTCCTAAATAAATATATGTGGAACCCAACTTAACCAGCCATCTCTCGACCGTTGTCTGGTGTATATTGAAGGTCTCCACTAATTCTTGCATGGTATGTTTCAGGTTGTTCCTTATGGCTTGCTCAATATCATCTTCTCCAATGTGGGATGGCCGTTCTCTCCTAGCCTGATCTTGGCAGCTTCTGTCTCCTTCCCTAAATTTACTAAACCATCAGCATGTGCTTTCATCTGTTGCATCCTCCCCATAAACTTGACAAACATTGCTACATGCTGAAGCTGCCATATTCTTTATATACAACTCGTATAACAAACGGTGTCTTACATGCACCTTCTCGCTTTCCATGTTACATCTTCAGGTTTTTTTTGGGGGGGGCGGATGATTAACTATGTGAGATACGATGCATTTATATGTGAAGGATCCGCACGTTTGATTGACCGACGATTTTTGTCATTACAGTGTCATGTGTGATGTCAATTCCATTGCAAATTTGCATATCCAAAAACGGGTAGAACTTTTGCACTTACCCCCCCCTCCTGATTAAAAAATTCAAAAGTTAATGATTAAATTATGTATTGCTTTTTGCTTCAGTTCATTATTTCGAAGATTCTTTATTCCTGCAGGGTAACTAAAAAGCTAATTTCACTTAGGTATGAATAATTTACGTCAGCATGCTGGTTTGCTTCCGGAAAGTTTGATATGGGGATACATCGTTCAACTTAGTTCTGTACTTAGGAGCATACATGCAGCAGGTCTTGCCTGTCGAGCATTTGATCCATCAAAAATCCTTGTTACTGGAAAATCAAGGTAATTGTCTTGTAATTTTTGTGTTTTCTTTTGATGCAATTTGAATAAAAAAATGTATATTTATTTTATTCTTGGTATGATATTCAATGACTTATTGACAGTGTATTTCACTTATTTATTATTTTGTATTTTAATTTGTATTCTATGCCATAATTAATATTTTTCTTATTATTGAGAGAAATCACTGTGTAAAAAAATTAAAAAATCTGAATGAAATTGTGAATGTATTACCTTAAATTATTTTAGATTGCGATTAAATTGCTGTGGAATATTTGATGTCTTAACATATGATCCTAATCAGCATAATCCAAAACAAGTAACTGCACATTTTCAGGTATATTTTTACAATTTTAATAATTATATATACATATCCATTTTTTTAAAACATTCTCATCTGGTTGATTACTTTCCTAATTAGCAAGAAGATCTCATGGCTTTTGGAAAAATAGTTCTGGCTTTGGCTTGCAACACTTTGAATGCTGTGAAGAGGAATAATTTAACTAGCTCTCTTGAATTAGTGTCTAGAAATTACTCAGCTGATCTGAGAAATTTAATCTTGTAAGTAAATTTTGAGTGAATTTTTACTAATTATTGTTTTATGGTTTTGCTTTTTCTAAAGTGATATTCTTGTTTCAATTTTATAATTTGTTTCAATTATATAAATGCTTTAGAAAGATAAAAATTTAATTGTATTTTATTCAGACTATTAAAAAAAGGAAAAAAAAAATTGTGTATAGTAAATATTTCTTTCTCTTAACCATGAAATAAAAAAAATCTGTTGTGTACACCACATGACTTCCTTGTACGGGATATTAAATTATGCACATTTTTTCTTGCATTTCATTTAAACTTATTGGATTGAATTAAATCTACTTCGTTGATAGTGCATAAACCACAATAGAATAGATGCACTCTTTAAAATTCACTATATTTATTTACCATATCAACACTCTGGCGCTAGGTTCACTTAACAGTGTTATATTTCGTTCATATTATAACTCAGAATGTCCAAAATTTATATCATTTGAAAAATTATCTAATCGTTGCCACATGTTCTATTCAAATACTATAATAAATCTAAAGCAATGTATAAAAGAAATTAAGCAAACAAAACAGAAAAGAAACAGTTTTTCACAGGTGATTCAGTATTTCTCATTCAATTAATTCAGTTCCCACTTCGCGACAAGGTAAAAATACATAAAAACTCAAAATATCTATTTTAAAAATTTTGAAGTAAATCTTAAACACTTATTTTCTCAAAAAATTACTGAAAGGATTAAGCAGGATTTAATTCGCAATAATAAATGAAGGTGTTATCTTTGTTGTTGCGAAGCTTAATCTCTCTAGATTGGCAACAAATCTACTATTCTGCTGTTTCAAATGTAAACAATGTTAACGTCAAATGTAATGTTAACTGTCAAATGTAAACGCTGTGTTATTTAAAAATTAGGCTTAACCGCGCTTTAACAGCTTTTAAACTGTTGATAATTCTACAAATATTCTTGCATCCTGCTATTTCAAATGTAAACAAGCAATGGCCGCCATCAAAAAAAATTATTAGGCTTAGCGGCACTTGTGCATACAGATTTACTAAAGGCATGCAAACTTTAACTGGAAGATAAGAGCAACATAATTCAATCATTTTTAAAGCAAAAAATGCACAATTTACAAACATATAAGAGTAAGGAAACTGAGAAGACTGAGCCGGGTAACAGAGAGTGGTGTGGCTGATTGCAACCAAAATACGAGGTGCACATCTACATGTTATAGCAATCCTATATACAAAATTTCAACGTTCTGAGACTACTCGTTTTTGAGTTATGCGAGATACGTATGTACAGACACCATGAAAAATTCATTTTAAAGCAGTTTTATAATTTTTTTGGAGGAAAAGAGTCTTTTATTCTGTCCTTACGTACAGATGTTGTGCAAAAACATTGTTAAATTGCATAGGATAGCGTTCAAAATGGATATTTTTGTTGAAATATGCCGATTGAAACTTTTCGCGATTACAATACTTCCTTTTTACTTCGTACAAGGAAGTAAAAAAGTTAGGAATATTTCTCATATTTTAATATTTAAAACTTTTTTAGTGTTCCAGCAAGTTATTTTGATACTTTACCAGCCATGTTGCAGTTGTATTACCATGTTAAATTTTGATGAGTGTTGTTTTCAAAGAAAATAATCTTTTGAGGCATGCCTTGATTTTTTTTTTTTTTTTTTTCTTTAAATAAAGCACACAGTTTTTTAAGGTTGCAGAGTTATGATAATAAATGTTATGTTTCCTAGAACTTAATTTGAGTTGATATATCTGTTTGTATTAACATAATTATGAATTAAAAGATTCAATACATAAAATTCTTGATAACACTTCTTTACCAAGTGTGTACTGTTTTATTTCTGTGAAATTTTAATTATTTTTCTGATCATAAATTTATTCATGAAGCAAATTAACTTTTGATTTCAGATATTTGTTGCATAATCAAACAAGGCCACGCAGCATAAATGACATAATGCCTATGATTGGCGCTCGTTTTTATACTCAGTTGGATGCTGCACAGATGAGGAGTGATGTTATTGAAAATGAACTATCGAAAGTAAGATTTGTGAAAAATTTGTGTAATGTAATTTCACTAAACATATTAGTTAATTGATTTGCTGAGTTTGAATTCAGTTATCTTAAATGTTTGCTTTTTCAAAACATCTTTCACAGTGAGAAGAGCTAAAAAAATTTTCTTGCAGAAAAATTTTCTGTACATATTAATTTGTGAGATTTAATGAAAGTTCTCTTAGGAGGTGGAAAATGGGCGATTATTTCGTCTCTTGGTCAAGCTAGGGACTATCACTGAAAGAGCAGAGTAAGTTATGTTTTTCTGTTTGAATGTTTAGTATAATTTTAAAGCTTGATAAATATGTAATCTGCCAAAATAATTGTATAACAGCTTGTTTGGTGGAATAAACATAAGCAAGTGAAACAAGGAAAGAAATGCAATTTATACAGTTATCTAAGTTTTAAGAAATAAAGCAAAACAGATTTGAGAACACTGGAAAAGTTGAAACATTTAATTTAATCTTTCTATTTACATTAAGTATTTTTTTTTTTTTTTTTAATGTTTGGCATGGATTTTGAATAAAATTCTGTCAACTTCTGAGTATAATGAGGCTCCCTCTTCTCCAGGGAGGTATTATTTTTTATCAAATATTTTTATCAAAGCTGATTTATATCAAAGTTATTTTTATTAAGCTGATCAATATTAAAAGTTAGGGGTGTAGCAAAATTAACATGAAACTAGCACCATCTATCGAGAAAAATATTAATGAAACATGAAAAACTGAGATGTGCGAATTTTAAAACTATTTGGAAGGACTAGATTAGAATTACTGTCATTAACTAAAGATAAATTTTACTGAAGAAGATAAATATTTATCATATTGCGATATTTGTTATCAGGAATACAAAAAGCTTCAAGGAAACCTAGTTGCAGCTGAAATGTTTAATTTTGCAGAAACAAAGTCAAAAGTGTTGTTAAGTTTCTAGCTATCATTAGGTATCAAATATTTGTTTATTTCTCCTTTTTGAACATAAGATTCGTTCTCCTTGATGCAAAATTTTAATGCTGTTTTACTTTGGCCATTATATTTGAAGTCGCCCACAAAGTTTGCTATCTTCTGTAGAACTTCTGTAATTGGTAGAAGGATGAAATGGAATGATGATGAGGCTGTTAATATTATTTACAGTAGAATGTCGTGTTTGATGGTAAGGGGAAATTTTTTTAAAGGCATTTTCAATTACTGTGGGAGAAAATCCTCTATCAGTAGCAATGTATTTCATATAATAGAGTTCTTGAGAAAGCAAAGATTCTAGAGAATAAACTTTGAAATCACAATGTACATAAGAGTAACGAAGCCAATTTTTTGCCTAGCAAGATGACATGACTTAGCATGGAGAGGCAAACAAACAGAAAAAGGTGAACAGCAAATGGTCGTACTGAAATCTAGTTCATTGTGAATAATACGAATTTCAAGGAAAAGAACTTTCAATTTCAAAGCGAACTGGAGGGTTGGATCAATCAAATTCATAATAGATGAAGTATGGGATGAATTTCTTTATTACACTCAAAAAGCATAAATGTGTCATCTGTGTAGCAAGTTCCAGAGTAGAAAAAATAGACTTTCAAATAATTTGATTTAAAATAGTGAGTGCATGTGAATGTCAGCAAATACTGGGCAGAGGGGATTGTTCATAGCTAATCCTTCAGAAATTCAGTGACAATAATTACCATATTAACCTGTTTTCTTCCCTTTTCCTATAAATTTTATTACTTGTAAACTGGTAGGGGAAAATCCGATGTGAATATTATTTCTAAGGAGATGGCTTAAATGATAACACATTAAAAAGCACATATAAAGACACACTAATGTCATTATATTATATATTTCAAAGAACTTACAAATGTCAATTATATTCTTTTTACGTGGACGGCATAATTTCTTATTTGTGCTTACATTTTACATTATCATCAATTATATGTTTCTGAATCATATGCTGAAAAAACTAGGGAGGAAACATGAAAAGGGGAGAAATATACAACTAAATACTGTTATTTTGGAAAATGAAATGGGTTTCACTGAAAGAAAATGTAATAAGAGAAATTAATTCCTGTGTTTCGGTATGTCTAAAATGGAATTCTTGAAACTTGTAGTTTTAATGCCACATGCATTGATCAATTAGCAACACATTTCAACTGTATTGACCACTCAAAATACGTGTAATTTAATATACATAGGTCAGACTGAGAACGTTCTCAGTCTTAGAATGATTGCAGATCACACATTAAAAAATTTCATTACCATCCTATGAAATTTAATAAATTTGGCCAAACTGGAGCACCTTGTGACTTCAATAACATTAAAATTTCAATTTTGGGTTTAGTTCCCAGTTTAAAAGACAGGCCTTTTCAAGCATGTAGCCAGTTTAAGAATAAAAAAAAAGAGGAAAAGGAGAAAGCAAAAAAATTAAAATATTTATTGACATTCAACGCTTTTGTACATAGACAAAATATTAAATTCTGCCCGTTTTGCTAAAAAATATTTTAAAACTGTTTAACACTTTTAGTAATAAAATTTTAATTCAACTTTGGAAATACTTCCAAATTAAATATTAAGTGCTTCAAATAATCGAAGATTTAGTTATCGATTTTTGTAACTATAAATTAGCAACAACTCTGTTTTTAAGAGGGAGGGCATATGGTTTGTTCCTAATTGAACATGGGATATATTTTGAACATACTTTTAATTTATTTAAATTTATTTTGCATTATTGTCACCATTTGTTGCTGCTTTCAGCTTGCGAACTGGATTAGATTTTGAATTGCTTCTTACCTTGTATTTAGTATATATATAATAGTAATTATTTCATAAGAATAAATTGAGTTTAATTAAAAAAATTAAATTTAAATACATATTTAATTAAATATTCGTTGTGCCATTGCTTCAAGGAATGAAATTTAAATTTAAACAAATTTAAATTCTTAACAAATACGTATAAAAGTAAAAAAGCAAATTTAAATTCTAAAAAAAGGAAAAAAGCCAAAATAATTTAAAATAATTTAAAAATATGCAAACATGTAAAAGATTTAATTCTCGAACTAATCTACAATATCATTTAAATTCAGAAGCATAAGCAAATCAAGTGCAAAATCTATCCATGAAAATAAATCTACGAATTTAATAAATTAAAATTAAATTAAACAATTTTTTTTTAAAAATGCATATGTGAATGAATGATCGTAGAGTAGGCAGGAGACAGACTTATCAAGGGGAAGTTGCCTCCAAACCTAACTCTCCAATCATTCAATTCGTGTTTCGTCATTCATGCAGGCAAGGGTAAAAGTCAAAACCAAAAGTAATTCCAACAAAGTGGCACCCCTAGAATTCAACATTTAAGTATTAACACCTAAGAATTAAAGTTCAAAAAGGAAAATACAAATTAAGTCTCCCAAGAAACAAGCAAGTCAAGTCAAGAATTAAACTTTTTCCCAAAAAATTAAATTTTTAAAAATTAATTCCTTATAAAATAATAAAAAAAAATCTAGAAACCAATGTATTCAATGTATTCCCCTACACGAATATGCATATCAATAAAAAGAAACTATAAAAGAACTGTACATAATCCATACAAATCAATAAGAAATAAAAAACAAAAAGAACCAATTCACAATTTTTAAAATAAATAAATATATATCCAAAAATATAATTTCATATCAAGAAAACACCTAAACACCACATAAAAAATTAAAAAAAAAAAAAATACTTAAAGCAAGTAAATGGTAAGTTTTAATTCTAACTTACCTACTATATGAGTGTTGGGGTCTGCAAAAGTTTTGTGAAAGAGAAGTGTGTTCTTCAAATTATATAGATGGCGCTTATGTAGGTAAAGTTGAGTGTCAAGCTGCTATCTTTGTTATAGTAAAAAATTTTTGTAAATATTAATATTAATTAAATTAAATTAAATTAAAAATCCTAAAGGTAGTAATATCAATTATTTAGGGAGTTAAGTAACTGAGCCAATCAAGAGATGTATGTTTGCTTGAAGGAAATTAAAGTGAAGTGGTATGTGGGGGAAAAAAAAAAAAAAAAAGTAAACTGTTTGTAATTTGAAATGTGTGTTCTGTTGAAAAATTTTGAAAATTGTTAAAAAATTAAGTGAAAGATATTTTGTGTGAAAATTGCAAAAAATTAAGAAAAACTGAAATGTTTTAATATTAAAGTTTTAAAGTAAAATTTTCCAAAATTTTTTTGAAATGAAGTCCTTAAAAAACCTCTAAAAATTCCCAGAAATTTCTCAAAAATTCCTTTAAGAAGTTAAATAAAACTTAAATTTGATGAAAGAAAATATTAAAAGTTTAATGAACTTGATTTAAAAATTGTGAATTGGTTCTTTTTGTTTCTTTTTGTTTTTTATTTCTTATTGGTTTGTATGGATTATGTATAGTTCTTCTATAGTTTCTTTTTATTGATATGCATATTCGTGTAGGGGAAGTTTCTGTAGACAAGGATTTCTAGAATACATTGGTTTCTAGATTTTTTTATTATTTTATAAGGAATTAATTTTTAAAAATTTAATTTTTTGGGAAAAAGTTTGATTCTTGACTTTACTTGCTTGTTTCTCGGGAGACTTAATTTTTATTTTCCTTTTTGAACTTTAATTCTTAGGTGTTAATACTTAAATGTTGAATTCTAGGGGTGCCACTTTGTTGGAATTACTTTTGGTTTTGACTTTTACCCTTGCCTGCATGAATGACGAAACACGAATTGAATGATTGGAGAGTTAGGTTTGGAGGCAACTTCCCCTTGATAAGTCTGTCTCCTGTTTACTCTACGATCATTCACATATGCATTTTTTAAAAAAATTGTTTAATTTAATTTTAATTTATTAAATTTGTAGATTTATTTTCATGGATAGATTTGTACTTGATTTGCTTATGCTTCTGAATTTAAATGATATTGTAGATTAGTTCGAGAATTAAATCTTTACATGTTTGCATATTTTTAAATATTTTAAATTATTTTGGGCTTTTTTCTTTTTTTAGAACTTTAATTGCTTTTTTACTTGTTTACTTTTATACGTATTTGTTAAGAATTTAAATTTGTTTAAATTTATAATAGTAATTATATATTAATGATGTATAGTTAAATTAGTTATTTAGCATCAAAGGAACCATAACTGAGCACTGGAGAGAAATATCTTTTATTTGCGACTTCAAAAGAATGTTTTATTGTTGAAGAATAAATTGTTGAATAGTAAAAGGAAGCATCTGGAGACTAAATAATGCGTAATTTTTTAAATTAATACTGTATAAAAAGAGTCAATAGCTAACTTTTACGAAGTCTGAAGTTAAAGGATCTTTAGGAATCAAGCAGTATGGATCTTTCTTTTTTTTTTTTAAATCAGTTTAATGACTGTATCAATTATGTGTGCCTGCCCTTAACAACGATCTGTATACACTTATCAGCTTTGGAAATAATAATGTTTGGATTCGAATGAATTTCATGCCAGGCCTTCTTTTTCTATTGGTTAAGATTTCAGATGATTTATTATTAAAATTAATGTTGGAGCAATGAAGTAGCAGATTGTATCTTACTATACTTCTGAAACTTTTTTGTGAGTTTAAAGCTTTTTCAATAGATGCTAGGAGGGGTAAAGGTGTAGATGGTGTTTGAAAAGTTCAAGTTATATTTTAATTATACTTTCATTTGATCTTTCAAAAGAATAACATGACATATATTAAGAAAGGGATTAGTATTCACAGCAGAGAAATTAACAGAAGAGGTGGGCCAAGACGACTAAGATGTGTGCTTTTGGGCTTTAGAAACAAGAACATTTTATGGCATTGACAAGCAGGTTTCCTTCTAGACCAGGATTTATGATCAGTAGAAGAAAAATTAGAAATAAAATTGAAAAAATTTTCAAATGATCATGATAAAATTGATACTCAATTTTAGGCATAAACATTTATGCATGCTTATTAGCCCATATATTTTTGCTTTTCAAAGTAAGGTTGCATTTTTGGCTAATTTTAAATATTACTTAATTTTTAATTTTAATTTTAAACTTTGATTTTTCAGTTTGGTTTACTTGAAATGTTTTTAGAAATCAATGTACAAAAAAGTTATTCAAATTTTCAACAAGTATGCTTCAAGAAAGACATTTATTTGCTTTATAATTTATGCCATGTTTGAATCTTTTAAATAATCTATGATTGAAGGTACTTATGACATATGCTTTCAGGATGTTTTAGTGATATTTTATTTTCATTTTCTAAGTAGTCATTAAAAACATTCACAGCACTCAGAATAATGAGGCAATACGAAATGGATAGCTTGTTAAACAAATTTATTGAAAAGAAGTTATGATGATACCAGACAGCAGCCTAATAAATTTTCATATTCTGCATAAGTAAATCATTTAGAAATTTTTTCAAAACAAGGCTAATAATATTTAAATGAGGTGCTAATTTTGGACATGTTTGGATTTTACAATTTAGATACTAGTAAATAAAGCAAAAAACATACTACAAGCGTTGTCATAAATGCTATTGTTTATGATCAATTTCTGATTGTAACTATATTGATGAATCATGCTCTGGTGTCTTTCATGTATTCTTTTTCTTGAATGTATTAATATGCTACCATTATTTATTTCTATGCATTTATTTAACTAACAATATTATAATTCAATGAAATAGTATCTTCTGTAGCATCACGAAAATTTTAATAACCAGTGTAACTGTATTTCAACATTTTGGCTAAATATTACCTCTAGAGAGACTCTATCCAAATATTTATTTCAGTTACTCCCCCCCCCCTTTTTTTTTTTTTTTTTTTTTTTTGTTAGTCCAGAAGGGGTATTAATTTCGTTTTCTCATTTATGGTGTTTCACTTTTCAAATTGCTGCCACCAAATATTATCGACCTGTATTATATTTAAAGAAATTAAATAATGAAGAATCTACATAAATGTGTGTATGTTTCTCGCCCTGTGAAAAAACAGCGGTACCTAGAGCCATCAAATTTTGAATAATGTACCTTTCTACCCAAATATGGGTATCAGGAAGCCCAAATTTAGAATTCAGAATATGTTTTATTATCTGTTTCGTATTTGGTAAAACATTAAATTTTTTATTAACAAACTAAACGATTTCAAAGCAAGCCATGGCGACACTGTACACACACACACACACACAAATGTTATCTCCAGCACGTGAGACTGTGTATCTGAAATTCTGAAGATATGCTCATTTTAAATTATTTTCTGATATTGCTGTTGAATTGAATTTTATGGTTTAAGAGCGAAGAACATGATATTTAATAAATAAAGGTAACGCACAAAACATTAAAAAAAAAAAAGTTTTAATTTTGGTTGTAAAGAGTTTATAAAATCTAAAAACTTACAGATTTTTTATTTTTTATTTTAATCTAAAGCTTCCTGTAGATTTGAATTACATTTTGCTTTTATAATTACCTCTTTTTGGGGGGGGAGCTGGGATGGATGTTGTTTATTAAGTTTTACAAAATTTTCAAAATAATAATCTTTGGAGAGTGTACATAGGTGTGACATTGTTGCAATCCTTATGCCACTGTAGTAAAGATTGTCTTCAGTTTTGAAATATTTTAATAAATAAAGGGGGGTAGAATGCTGTTAATATTAGAGTTTGTGAGTAAAACAGTACATAGATTAGAATGTGACTGGATGTCAAAGTTTTTAAAAAATATTCATATAATCTTATTAAATAGATTAGTTATCCATCAAGTCTTATATTTATTAATGAATTCTGTTCTGGTAACAAAATGTGACTTGAAAGGAATTATGTGAGGTTAAACACAGATATTAACAAATATTTTGTTGTTTTCTGATATAATTTTGCTTTAAAATTTTGTTGAAGCTGTTAGTTCTTAAAATGGTTGTAGGGACTATGGGTTGGCAACTGCTTTTTGGAGTTCTTGCCAACAATGAATATTTGCAGTATTATCCGATACTATAAATTCGTTGCAAACACACTGATAAAAATATGAATTATAATGGGTTTAACCAAATTGTACTTCGTAAAAAAATTACATTAAAATTTTTTACTGTGGAAACTCGGTTAATGTTGATGAAATTTAATTAAATTTATCACTGATTTAAAAATAGAGTCACCTATTCATAATATCCGCAATCAGTTATAAACCAGAATTTGGCTTGGTGTCTGTGTCGCCACATTTTCCTTCGTTGTGCCTGTAACTGATAAGTAGCTATTCATTAATATTGTCGTAAATTGATATGTATAGGCTGATAAAATATTAAATTATTAAAAGGTTGAGAATTTTTTAACTTTATTGTTTTTGTTAAAAAAGTAAATAGAATGCTTTTGCGTGATTTTTTTAGCCCAAAGGACATTAGACCAGAAGGGCTATTAATTTTGTTTTGGCATTTGGGGTTGAAAAATTTAAATGTTGGTTCACTTTTCAAATTGTTGCCACCAAATATTATCACCCTGTGTTATATTGAAAGAAATTAAATTATGAAGAATCTGCATAAATGTATGTATGTTTCTCACATTGTGGTAAAACAATGGTACCTAGAGCCATCAAATTTTGAATAATGTAATTCTCCACCGAATATGGGCATATAGGAGCCCTAATTTGGAATTTGAAATTTGTTTTATTATCAATTTCATATTTTGTAACACTTCTTCAGAATATTTCTTATGGGCAGGTATATTCAAATGATTTGTAGAGATAGTGGTTTCTTTCTTTCTTTTTTTAAAGCAAGGAAGTGTAAAAAATTAACTATGCGCTATCTACTATTTGAGATCCATAAAGCTTTGAATGGCATACTGTCATTTCTAACACAAGAGCATGCATAGCACTACCTAACCATTTTGAAATTTTTTTACCTAACAATTTGAAATTTTTTTGTGGGTGGGGGGATGTGAAATATATTTAAGATACAAACAATCTTGTATTGAGTCTGGCATTTATTTATAAGAGCATTATTTTTGCAATGTTCAGATGGGTGGATGGGACTGCCTTTTCTTTCATTTAATAATTAAATTATTTGAAATATCTTCATTACAATTTTTTTAATGCAAAGTTTACTGCCAGTTTTGCTGATAGTTATTGATAGAAAATTCAAGTCTTCAGATCCAAGTACTTTGATCTCATTGAGCATATGTGTTTGTAATATACCAAATATAAAAAGCAGGAAGCGAATATATTTAAGTTGTTCATAGAAATGCAAAATACTTGTAATGGTGTAAAAAAGAAGATATCGCTAATAAAAGGTCTTTTAAAAGGATTCTTAAATACAAATTTTGAATAATGTAATCCTCCACTGAATAAAAGAAATAAAAACTACATATACTTTCACTAAAGTAATTTGAAAGTTTTATCTACTTTTAGCTAATTTTGGTTGTAAAGAGTTTTAATTCCTTCCTTAAGTTTTTAATATTGAAAAGGCAACATTAATCATAATTATATTTTATTTGACGTTTAAGTTAAACATATCCTGGAGAGTGTGATAACTAAAACATCTAGGTATATAGGAGAAAAATTTTGATCCAAAACCACCTTTTCTTTATCAAATAGATAGCTGTAAGTTTTTTTGGGGGAAAATAAGATTATTATATGTCTAATTATGCAATGACAACTTTAATTTAGCTCCTCTGAAAGAGAATATAAAGTGGTAACACAGAAATTGGTTTATAACATTTATAAATAATATTGCTATAGGAAATAATTTATGGTATGCAAGTTTTCCCAAGAAGAAACATTTTGGTTAATGAATTCTTAAATACAAATATGCTTTATATATATGTAATGTGTGAAATTACATGGCTTTTCATCTATGTTTTTGTTTACTTTTCTGTGCAGACTGAATATGGACCATTCATGGGCTGAAACAGGAGATCGATACTTACTGAAGCTTTTCCGTGACTACCTTTTCCATCAAGTGACGGAAGATGGCCGACCATGGGTGGATACAGCACATATTGTGCAGTGTCTGAATAAGGTGCTATTTTATTTTAATTTAATTTACTGTATTTTCTCATAATCTGCCCCCCCCCCTTTTTTTTTTTTTTTACAAAAAAAAAAGTGCAGATGAAAAGCAGCTGTTAAAATTTTAAATTAAGAGGTTAAAATTAAGGATGGGGCTTATGCACATGAGGATATGGCATTCAGGTATGATTCCGTGATTGTATAGAAGTATTGAATAAAAAAGCAGCATCGTTAATTACATGATTTCTTTTAGGTAAAGAAATGTTTTGAATGATATTTTTAGAAAATTAAATTTGTGGTGAGTTTGTATTTGTGCTGTTTGTAAGTATACAAATGCACATGAACTTGCAGTGTCTTTATCATTTTGTGTATGCGTACATTCATTTTTGTATTATATATAATAATTTGATTTACTTTGATAAACAGTACTCATAATATTTATATATTTTTATTGTGTGATAATATTTCAGATATGAATTTTTGAATTAAGAATTTCAGCAGTAAGATCTAAAAGTCAGTTTAAGTCTGACTTAATGCTAAACATGACTAATTTTGTTAGGGAAGAAAGAAATTTAGAGTAACCAATTCTTTTATTTAACAATCTAGCTAATGTTATATGATTAGAATAAAAGCTTAAATAAAGCTGAGTAAGGTATTTTTCAGGGGCTGTAATTATTGCATTTTTGCCAAATTCTCTTAAGAGCATTAAAATATATAGAAAGTCATCAAACAAAAGCTATTAGCATTATTTCTTGCATTCGAGAAAAGTTTGAAAAGATGCAGGTATTAAGTGAAAGAAATATGTGAAATCCAGTACTGAACTTGGCACTTGTTCATTGTATTCCATTTGTGCTATAGATGCTTATTTCTGCGTTGAGTTAAATAATATATTTTGTTATAGAGAGTAGTAAAATGACTCTGTAGGTCATTAGCAAGTATAGAAGAAATTAAATACAAATGATATTGAAACAATTCATCTAGGTAGTTAAACTTTTGGATAGACTTATCTTCATAAGGAAAAATAGAAATATAGGTATATTATTTTTTCATTAACATTTCTGACAAGTAGTTGGATAGCTAATGATTATTTGATTGCAAGGAAGTTTAACGAAAAATGCATATTTCTATTTTTAAGTTAAAACAGTCTTTTTCTTTATGAGTTTGTAGACTTCATCATTCTATTTTTCAAATTTTGATTTTTGAATATTTCACTTGCAGTCTGACATTTTAACAGAACAATAGTCAAAAAGAGAATAATTCATTTTAACTTTTTTGTGCCCTAATGATCATTTGCCCCTCTAAAATCAAGACTTAGCTAGCATACAAATAAAGTTCTTAAGCATTTAATTCATATTGCAGTTAAATTGAGAGCCGCCCATCCGGTATAGTGGTTAGCATTGCTGACTACCGTGCCGAAGGGCCCGGGTTCGAATACAGAAGAAGCCATGGATGTTTGTAAATGCAATAGTGTCGGTGCGGCATTGTAAATATGTGGCAAGCCAAAAGTCCTCTCGTGTGGTTTGGTGGGAGCGGAGAGGGGTAGGAGACTGTCAGACCCATACCCCGGGTCATCTCCATCAAAATTGGAACTGAGCCAAATCGCACTGTCTCCTATTAGGTGTTCAAGGCTGTCGCCAATAATAGGCGTAATCTAGTGCTCCTTGCCACAATGAATTTTGGCTGACCGTCAGACAAGTGAGCGTAAGCAACAACATTATATTCAGAACAATAACATGTAATAATAATTGATAGCATAAAGATCTAAAAACACTTCCATAAAGCATATTAAATAGGTAGACAATTATGCACTTGCTGTTATTGAGATGAGAATAAGAAAAAAAATTATAACTCGTATTTAAATATAGTTTGTTCTGTTAAAAATCTAATGCATTTGTATCTTGGTTATGAAAGGCCATGAGTGATAAGAATCTTATAGATCATTCTTGAATAATTATGTTTTCTGCTAGCTTATCACAGAGTAAGGGAATGTGGTAGAAGCAGTTGTATTTCTCAGCATAGCTCCTCTTACCAAACATAGCAGCTGCTAAAACATATGCTAGTGCAAAATTTGTGGAAATGAGTTCTTTAAAAAAGAATAATATAAATTAATTAGTGTAAATATTTGGAAAAAGCATTTTGCTTGAATTCCAGATAAAAATATTTTTTAATACAAAACATCAATAATTTTAAATTAATATGGCTTGTTTAGTAATTAGTTAATTTTATTCCTTTGCTGTGAGTCTTAAGTTGAGGACTTTGTAATAGGATTAGACTTTAGCAATTTTCATATAGAATTCCATAAACTTAAGAATAATTTCTGATTAGAAGTTAGGTTAGTTGAATAAGGCAAAGCACATGACAGTTATCTGCTATGCCTTTGTGGAGGACTTTCTAAAGGAATGGCTCATATTCATGTTATACATGAAGAAAAACAATCATGCAAATAGCTTCTTTGCCTGGAACTGAACACAGGTCAACCTGCCAGCATTCAGTGTCATTCATTCAGGTCTTCCACCATTCAGCCATTGGTATGAAGCCTCAGAATAATTAGAAATCTTTGAATGAGTGGCAGTATATTGTAGGTATCACACTGATTGAAGAGAGAGTGTTTTGGCTGTAATTTTAGCTGATTGGACAGTAACACTGGACAGTAACTTTATAAATCATGTATTTATAATTGCTGTCAGAAAACTGCTGTATTCTAATTTCTTTGTTAATTTCAGGAAGTTTATCAATAATACTGAAATACTTCATATAATTTTAAAATGTGTACAAATGCTAAATGAAATGTAAGTATGTATTTTGAGTAAACATTAAACATAAAGTTTTAGCCATTTAAAGTAAATGTATTTACTATAAAATGATAATAAAGCTTATGAAGCATTAAATAGTTAAAAAAATTCAGTTACATGCTAGATATACTGCTGGCCTTTGAATTTGACACCTACTGTCAAGGAAATTGTGTTAGCTTGCATTTATGGGGACAAAATGTGCTTAACCCTTTCACCGCTGACACCAAACTAATATGTTTTGCAAAATGCATGCCATAGTGTTTGCTATGCTGAATCCGTAAATCTAGAAATTCTGCTTTGTGTGTAGTCAGTAAATATTTTTTTGATGAAAGTATTAACTTAGAATACTCAAATAATCTGTGCATATAAAAAAACTCTCTCGTAATTAAATTAACTTTATCTGTCAAAAAGATTAAGCTTCATAAAAGAATACATCAGCTGTGTTTGTAAATCTCTGCTTTGATTGGGGATATATCAGAACTGCAGATTTTTCTCTCAAGAAAATGTAGCTTGACTAGTGTGTGATCGCAGTGCTATGAATATGAAATCAGAATTTTGAAAAAGGAGGAGCAGATTCATGTCAACAGTTCTAAGCAAGACTCCAAGAAAACAAGAAATAGATAAAACCACTAGAGAAGAGGATAAACTTCTCATGCACATGGCTATTATGATTAATAAAGCTACTGTATTTATGGTATGATATTGTTTGCTGATTCAAAGATTATTTGCAGGTTGCATATTGCTTTGGCTATCTTTGAAATTACAATCCATGACCTCATCTGTCCAGATGAATCATCTGTTTGTAGCATCTATGTATGGCAGTATCATAGTGACAGATTTGAGTCATGCCTTACGTATCACCATAGCAGTCAAATATATGGCGTGGCATGGTATGGAGTGTCAGTGGACTTTAGTCTTGCTGATGTCCCTTGTGCACATTCCTTATATAGCAGACAACTACCATGCATCTGTTAGGAGTTACTACCTGCTGTCACTTATCTTAAGGATCTGCTAGGGCTTTAAAGACCTACCTGAATTGGCCTAGTTATCAATAGTGGTGAGTGAAGAATATGCAAAAATTCTTGGTTAATAACTGCATTCTGCTTCCTGCTGACATGTTCATTGTCTGTGTCTTCATTTGAATACCTGTGGTCCTTGATCACACTGTAGTTGGCATATCACAGACTACTTATTGTAGAATTGCCATCAGAAATGAACATGATTAAATACTTAAGCTGCACATCCAACTTTATAGCCCTTCACTCCCCTTAATTGTGAGTGGACCTAATCCAAAAAGAGAGACCCTTCTTGTCTGATACTCATTGCACTTCACTATGGACAGCCGATAATGTTTGTGCCCCTGCAAGATATTTTTTCTTTTCCTTTTTCATAGCTAATAAATATGTTTCCACTTTCTAATTCTGTTTCTTACATTTGCAGCATGGATTACCTATTAATAAGGTAAGAGACTTCCATTCTATTTTATTTGTCTGCTTATCACAAGTGATCTGGATTCAGATGGTAAACAAATGAATTACATGTTCCTTCAACTCTTATAACTACAATTTCAGAAATATGTTAAAAAATAAATAAATAAAATAAAATAAAGGGGCCACACTGATTCTTCTACCCCAAAGGGACATCCAATATATTTGTTTTCAACTCAAGGGGTATACGTAATTATCAGAAACTATTGATATCAGAATAACAGGAAATGAGCAGTAGGCCCCGTAAAACTGATTGTGATTAGGGTAAAGGATCCTTTTTGCCCTTGTGTCTGTTGCAGAAAAGAGAGAATGCATTTTCCATTCCTTAACAAGAAGCAAGCCTTAGGGACTGACAAATAGATGGATGTTTGATGAAAGTCTTTCTTGGAGGGGGGGATTTAAAGCCTGCAAGGAGAAAGTTAAAACTGATTGCCGTTGGTGGAGGTTATGGAGCAACTTTATAAAGAGGAGGGAAAGGCGAGTGGGGACTGACAACATTCATTGTTTCTTAAACTGTGATGCAAAGAGAGTATGTTAATGCATTGTTTCATGAGAGGTGTTTTGTCAGGTTTGTTGTATCTCGAGGAATTTCTCGCAGTGAACAAAAGAGGAAATACCTATATCATCTTTCTCGGAGTGTGTAAAAAAAGTGCATCACCTAAATTTAATTATTTTGTGTGTTATTGGTTCTGAATACGTTGGCAGTCGAGTGATTGACCAAATATGTGCAAATAAAGTATGGCTGTGAGAGAAAATTGGTTGCTTAATAATTAGATTTGAAGTTTAAAAAGAGAAGATTTTGGTGAAAAAATGGAAAGAGAGGTTTCAAGGAATTGAGTTTTGTTGCAGTTTCATGCCTTTCTTGATTTAGACTAGAGGAAGAAAGGGGAGGTATAGAGATGGAAGAATCTTAATTTATTTTCGGCTTGCTGCCGTTGCTAGGAGAGACTTAAGCTTTTAGGCAAAGGTGAAGTGTTTCAGATTTTAAGAAATGATTAGCATAGCAAGAGACCAATAGGCTGAAAGGTGTAAGCATGGGAAGTGAAGGAGAAAGTATTTTAACGAAGGTGTCTTGGAAAAACGAGGCGAGTCTTCTTTTTTTGGGTACTGTTCTGCTATAGGGATTGGATTCAGAAATGTATGTATGTATGTATGTATGTGCATATGCATGTATATATGCACATGCATTCTTACTTACATATATACATGCAAACATGAATACATACATTCATACATAATAATCATTTATTTGTTTGCATTAAATTTCATTTAAATTCATTAACTTTTAATTTCCTTTTTGCGGATAAAAAATGTTTGTTAAATGCATTCATACACACATATATACATACATTTCTGAATGCAGGTCCTGATGAACGAAACTGACTTTTTTTCCTGCCTAGCTCCCCTTGTTAGAAGTGACTTCAGTTTTTAGATGAAGATGAAGTATTCCAATTTCTAGATTTTAAGAAATAATTTCTATAAGTTAAAAATAGCAAGAGATCCATGGCTGAAAGGTGTGCACATAGTGTGAAGGAGAAGGAACGTATTTTAGCAAAGATATCTCGAAAAGATGAGGCAGTAAGTATTTCTGCTGTGCTTTGGTGATGCAGGTGCAGATTTTCAAATAAAGACCGAGAAGAAAAGGGTTCCTTACCTACAGACAAAAAATGGCTACAGTCACTGTTATGCTTCTTTGTATGAACTGCTTTAAATTATGGGGAAGTAATGTTTATATAAACTTAATCTGACAGTATGGAAGACAGTGCTGCTATGAACTGTGTAGAACCATGTGAAAGCCTGACTACACATAAACAAAATCAGACTGCAAGAAATTACTCTGAAGTCGAAAATGTCATATGTCCTTTTTCGTCCATGCATGAATGATTATGTTGATTATGTGTAAATCTGGAAATGGATAATCAGGAGTTTATTTTAAATTTAAGGATAAGTCTTTATTTGTATGTTGATTGTAATTTTATATGTTAATTAATTACTTGATGGCTAATATAAAACAATGAAATTGTGTAGCTAATAATGTGCGAATTTTAATATGTTTCTTTCCATGACAGTAAAGTAAGGAAATTTAAATTTATCATATGTAAATATGCAAGTGCATTTGAACATGAATATCAAATGTTCATTAAGAAAAGATTAAAAACTTGATGTGTTATTATCAAAATGTGTGACATAATTGTTAAGGAATTTGAAAATTTCTTATTTTGTATTTGCACACACATTTTTCCCTGTAAAACATTTCAAAAATCGCCACTCCATAACTTCCCTCAAAAGAAATCAGTTTTAAAACTTTCTCCATCCAGGCTTTCAACACACACACGAACACCTGTAAGAAAGACTTTTTATCAAATGTCGTCTCTTTTCTGTAACAGGTACAAGGGCGAAAATGATCCTTTTTTTCTAATCACAGTCAATTTTACTGGTGCCTAATGCTCATTTCCTGTCATTAGTTTTTGATAATTAGGAACACCTTTGAAGTTAAATGTCTGCACATATCTTCTTTTCCATGCAGGGCCATAGTAAATACAATAATTCCATAGCTTTTGTATAATTGTAATATTTTTGGCAATATTATATTGGGTCATCCAGCAATCATGGCTGCCTATGGTGGTTGCACAAGAAGTTGATTTCTTTATTTTCTACAAGTTGAAATTGAAATAATAATTCTATTAATATTGTATAATTGTAATATTTTTGGCAGTATAATATTAGGTCGTCCACAGACTTCCTGGAAAACCAGGAAGAGTCAGGAAATTCAAAATTTGACCAAAAAAGTCTGGGAATTTCATATAGTGATCCCCAAAAAAGCGATCTTTTTGCCAACGTTGGAAGCGATCACTTTTTTGCCGAATTATGTATCGCATGAGCGTCATTCAGACATCTGGTGTAGAACTAGTTTTCATAGTGCTAATCAGATTGTCTTTTAGAAAGGCAAAGCAAATTTCCACCATTTTTAGTTTTCAGTAACCTTCAGGATCCAGAGATTCGCATATGCAATGCATGTTGAATGCAAGTAAATTCTTGCCATTCTCGTATAAAACAAAATCTTTTAAACCTTTTCTTCTTTCTTAAATGCCTTATTTGTCATTTTGCAGTAAAATGTAATTTATTTTAATATTATTCATATTATTTAAATACAGCTTCTTCCTTCTAAATTTATTTATTATTAGTTAACAATACTTTCAAATTTCAGGCAATTTTCGCAGGCATATTTGTGAAACTGTTTCTAACATATCTAGTATGATGACATACCATCACGAAATTTAGTCACATATTTTTTACTTATGTATGCTGCTAAATAAATATAAAATACTTGAATTTATTTATCATTAAATAGATTTCTTTCTTCCTTTACTGCAAAATGTCTGCAGAAAAGATATTTTTTAATTCCAATTGGGCAGATTCTAATTTCAATCCTCAGTAGAGAAAACAACTTCTATAAAGAACAAATAGTAAATTAAATTTTAAATTTAAATTTAAATTAGCTGTAATACTTGTTAAATTCAAATATGATATATTAAGTCGTATGTAATTGCTCTTCCCCCCCCCCCCCCCCCACCCCCCCCCCACCCCCCCCCCCCCCCCCCCCCCCCCCCCCCGTTCATTTACCCTCAGCACAGCCTATGCGGTTAGCCTGGAATTTTCTTGAAACACATATAGAAAACCTGGAAAAGTCAGGGAATTTCATTCTCACGTTTGAGTGGCAACCCTGCATCCAGGAAATTCTGCAGGTTTTCAGTGAAACTTAAGTTTATTTTCTTCTAATTATTTTGTTACTGCTGATAAGGAGTGACCTTAATTGAAGCAGATGTGTTTTTGTCGCATTATCTTCTTTTATATTAAGAGATGAAAAAATGCTACTCAGATTGCATGCAAAATTTGTGCTGTTTCTGATAACACAGTTTCGAAAGTGGTTTGACATGTTAAAGCATAGAAACTTCAGCCTCGAATATGATATTTAATCTGGTCACCCATCTTTTGTAAACAAGCTATCTCTGAAAACCCGTGTTACACAGTTCAGGAACTAACAGATTGATTAAATATTCTGGAAACTGTAGAACAGGATCATTTGAAGACGATTAGGTATGTCAGCCGCTACGATGTGTAGGTATCTCATACTTTAACAGAGCAGAATATGCTTGATTGAATTTCAACATGTAATATATTGCTGAAATGAAATAAAAAAGCTCTTTTTTGAAACAGCTGAATACTGGACATAAGAAGTGGGTACTATACAGTAATGTTACAAGAAAAAGGTCATGGGGTAAGCCAAAAAGAACCTCTTTTAGTAACATCGAAAGGGGACCTGCATCTGACAAAAGTGATGCTTTTTATATGGTGGGACTACCGAGAAATTGTATATTATGAATTCTTACCAATTCAGATGCTTCTTAAATGACAGTTTTAAAAGAAGAATTCAAACTCAGAACTGACTAGTCATAGATATGCCTTTCTTCATGACATTGCTCAGCCCCACATTTGGTTGAATGTAAGACAAAGACTTTAGTAAAGCTGGGATGTTTTGTCTCATACCCCAGGCTCCTTCAGATTTTCATTTTTTCAGGACACTTCAGAATTTTCTAAATGGTCTGAAGTGAACTTCATTGTAAACTGTCAAGCAGCACTTCTTTGCAAATAAGCGTAATTTCTTTTTAAGGAATTTTTCTAACTGCCAAATAGATGGCAAAATTCATAGAACAAAAGATAGTCATTATACGATTTAAAGATATTTTTATGTTTCGTACTGCTTCATTTGTATTTATCATAAAAAAAACATAGAACTCTCAGGATGACCCAAAACATATAACTCGTTGTAATCATATTTGTAATACCCGTTGTATGTATAATAAATATGATTTTGATAGCTTTTGTAATTTATCGTATATCCTTTTTAATGGCTTGCAGTGTATGTAAGTCTTTGCTTATAAAATTAGAAGGATAAAAAGAGTGGACCATTGGAACACAGATTTCTGAAAGGGACACATGCTTGAGTCTATTTCATAGAATTTTTGTATTTATGATATAATTTTTTTCTACTTCAAAAATTTGATATATATATATATTTTTTTTTTTTTTTTTTTTTTTTTTAGTTGGATGCTGGTGTCTCTGATAAAATATGTTTGATGGCAAGAGATGAGCAGAATGTTCTTGTAGTGAGCTATGCGGAACTGAAAGCATGCTTTGAATCTTCGTTTAATGAGGTTCTGAATGCAGCTCTTGGGCCAAAGCCTCACACATAAGTTTTCCTTTTATCAGTGATTCTAATACAGATTTTTATATGAAGTGTAGCTCAGAAAAGAAATGAGATTTTTCTCTTGAGTTTGTTAAAATGTGGTCTTGTGCTCCTTGGAAACTGAAATGAAAGTGTTTTAATTTCGTTCCTAGTTTCTTCACTTAAAACATGTATTGAGCTGAGCATCTCAAGTTTGTTGAGCAGGACTGAGTTTTAGAGTACTTAAGTCAACTGCAATTCCAAATACCATGTTTGTTAAGATAGCAAGAATTTTATTTTTTCATATTTTGTAAAAAAAAAAAACAAAAGAAAAAAGTTGTGACATTTACATAGGATATTTTCAAAAAGGAAATGCAATCCTCCTTCAAAAATGCTAAACAAGTATAATATATTTGTAAATCTGTATGAAAAGTGCATAATATTTGACAATGGTTTGACTGCCTAAAATCTTGTCTTTGTCCTTTGTCAGTTGTATTTTTTTTTTAATTATTATTATTATTTTTCTAAATGCATAAAAATATGAACTGTGGCAAGTTTTTGCAGAAGAAAATAGGCAATAGTTTTTATATCTAAGTTAATTCTTATAGAAAATTGTGAAAGGAGTTTGTTAAAAAAAAGGTGATCCATTTAAGTTTACTGTACATTGAATTTTATGGAATTATCAAGTGCTTTGATAAAAAATTTTAACGAAAATTATGTAGTCGTTTATTGTCCTTTGTATCATTTTAAATGGCAAATGCTCTGTTTTAATTACAAGTTACTTTATGTGGTGTGAATTTTTCTTAAATCTGTGTAAGGGCTAGTGATTTAAAAATTAATTGCTGAATTTTAAAAGTTTTAAAATGTAAGAAAAAGCATATTTGAATCGTCTGTATAAATTTTATTTTTATATTTTTTATTTTCATATTGTAATGGTATGTACAGTGATTTAATGAGAAGAGAAAATTTGTCAAAAGGTTTAATTCTGAAGACAGGTGTTGCTACATTGCAATCACTTTATAGTAATTTTTGGAATATGCGTTTGAGATAAGTCTGTTAATCTGTTTTGTGTAAACAATTGTGTGCGACGCAGCATTTTATTCTTCTGTTAACTCAGTTTGGGATATTAGCTCCCTCTGAGTTTGTTGATAAACAGATCTGTTGTAAATTCTCTTTTCGGAAGGAAGGGGGAAATGATTGTAATTCTGCTGCCGAAAACCTCATATATTCTCTTCTCCATTTTTTTATGGTGATCTAGAAGATGTTAAAAGTGGAGATTTAAATTATGTATTGTATTTGTACAAATGTATTTGAGAATAAAGATTTTATTTTCTTGAAAAAAAAAAAAAAAACTTGTCTTTTTCATTATTTATACAAATTCTTGCATGATTATTATTGTTGATCAATCATGATAATAAAAGTCAAATAACAGCATCTTTAAATTTCTTATTTGCATATATTTTTCATTGAATATTTTAGATGCCAGAAAATTTGCTTTTACATCTCCTCTGCTGAATAATAACTTAGTAAATGAAATCTTAACTTATTATTTCTAAGTTTTGTTAAGTCATCTATCTTTCTTTCAGTGAATTTTTAAAAAATAGGCATTTACCTATTATATTTTAATTCCTCGTGCATGAAAGAAAATTAGGACTTTCAGTGTAAAATAATTCTCAAATGCTCAGAATTAAAAGATACTATAAGATACGCTGTGTCTACAACAGATTTTATTCAGCCTTTATTTTCACAACTATTAGTCTCAGGCATGTTATACTTCCAGTTATAAAATTGTTTTAACTCTATGATTGTGAGTACACAATTCATAAAATACAGAATATGATTAAAATGAAATCACAAATTGGTGGAGAAGTAGTGGCTGCCACATTAATGTCCACATAATATAATTTAAAGTCTTATGTCTATGACTTAACAACTGTAAAAGTAAAAGCTGCATAGGGACTTCATCGATGAAATGTATAGTGAAATATCTCTTTGTTAGATAAGGTTCTTTGTATGTTAAAACCTTGAAAGCTATCTGCCTAAGATGAGAGATGCCTTTTGGGGGGGGGGAAATTATAGCTTATAGACTGCAATTGAACGATTGCCCTAAAATCCTATTACAAAAAATTTATATTTTTGTTTATTTAAAATTCAGAATAATTTTTAAAACTAAAGTGAAGAAGTTATGTTTTCTATTAATGTCTATCTTGATTTTTTGTAAGAATTCAAATGGGAAAAATGTAATTTAATAATTTTATTAAATGATAAAATAAATAATTTTATTTATTGAAATGGATAATAAATAATCAAATTTATTGTTTCTTGAAATGTAATTTGTATCATGGTAGTAAACATAATTTAAAAGAAAATACTACAGTAAAGTTTGGAATTTTTAAAGATTAAAAACATGTCTTTTTTATTTGGGATTTTCTGCTATTAGGTTTTCAAGATCATTTATTTCCATCAAATAAGTTTTGGTTAGAAATATAACTGGTTTAATTTGTTGAATTCTTACTTGTATTTTAAGATAAGTGTAGCAAATGCATACTGTCTTCCAAAGGTAAGGAACAAATAGTTCCCTTCCCCTATGCAAATAAAATAATAAACAGGATGCTGAGTGTAATAAATTAATAATAATTCAAATAGAAAAATATTTATATAATTCTAGATAATCACTAACAATTTTGTTCAAGTGTAGTAAGCTTTTAAAACAATAAATCTTTCATAATATTCATGCATATAAAGTTTGATTTTTTAAATGTTTTAGCAGATACTGAAATGTTATGCCTGAATTATTATGCACAGATTTTGAGAGAAATCTAGGTTTAGTAAGTAATTTAGTCAGACTGTGAGTTGTTGACTAGATGGAAATGGTCGTCTCATAATTAGAGATTTTTCAATATAAATAAATGCTATTCTCAGTGTCATTAGCAGATTATCAAATCTAGTCATTGATGAGTATACAATTTCAAAAAGAGCAGTGGCTTCTCATTCGACAGTTACAACCCATCATGGTGAGTCAAAAAAAAAAGTGTGATTGCATCTCAGCTTGTCAGTCATTTTATTGGAGCAAGAACGTAGATATATGCTGTTGTGAGAGGAAAATAGCATAGGAGGGTTCTTTGACAGAATACTGTTTGTGTACGTTTTACAGGCTTGTCTGTAGGGCTACTCAATTGCATTCAGCTAGAGAGTATATCACCTTGAGCAGACATTTGTGGTGCTATGTAATATTCGCAAAAGTACTGAAGTACTCGCTGCACCGTGACTTAGATGTGTCATAATCCACAGAGAAAAAAGAATGTTGAAAGATCAGTCTTGATGGTTTAGAAACATAAAAAATACTGAGTGTATTATTAAATCCACAACAGTATTTTAGCATGTTGTGGATGTAATCATACATTCAGTATTTTCTATGTTAAAGTATGATTTCATGTTTGAAGTTATATGCAAAGCTTGTATAACTCACCTCCAGGTCTATAATATTAAATAATACTGACTGTTGCATTCAGTAAGCTATGCATGTGTAAATTAGAATGCATTTAATCTTCTTATTAGGTTGCTTTTATAGACTGCCGAGTATCTAGTTACACTGCAGGTAAGTGAATTGCGTAATATGATGTAAGTAAGCTTAGTAACTATAATTGCTGTTAGTGGTTTTATTGCACCAAACGTTTTATATTGAATTGTATTGTTTCCTATGATATCTAATCAAGCCTTTATTTTCAATCCAATGGAGCTTCTGAATTTATTTATCTTACATCAGGCTTTAGTAAGAATCACTTTGCATATCCATACTGATTTTTCTGGTAACTCTTGGAATTGTTTGCTGCCAGTTACGGATATTTAATTGAAATTTACAAAGTCTTATTCTTACAGAAGTGTTAGTAGTATTATAAATTCTATATAAGAGCAAAGATCAAATGCCCACTTAGAATTTACGACATTTGGAGGTGTATGTCGTTTGCTAGAATCACTCTTTATGGATAATGCAATAGAATCAGATTTGTATAATTCCCATCCAGATATTGGAGAATAGTTAGGCTTCATTCCTATGTAGAATTTACAATTGTAAGAGTTATGTAGAACTGCAGAACAATCTGTTATATAATTATCATCCAGATATTGCAGAATAGTTGTCTTCACTATCCTTACTTGTAAATTTATGTATTGTCGGCTATATCATTTCCCCCAGCAAATGATAGGGAAAGTTACAACTATGTGAAAGTGCATGCAGATTAACTAAAGTTTGCCTTTACCGAAGTTCATATGAATGTTGAATAGTGATGACAAATCCACCATTTTATTCTAAATTGTTTAATACTTTAAATAATAAAACCTGATGTGGAGACCACATGCCTTTCTTGTACCACCTGTAAAATTATACACATTTTTGCTGCATTTCATTTACTTATATCCTCGAATTGCATTAGATATATTTCTCGTTCAATTAATTCAGTTCTCTCTTCTCAAGGCAAAAATGCATAAAAACTAGATGCATATTCATTAAAAATTGTAAAATAAAACACAAAATGCAGATAACTTTTATTATTATTATTGCAATTAAAATTGGTTTCTTCACAAAAACAAGCAATTACTTTTGGTCCCACTCGGCAAAAAGACACTGAAGTTGCTGCACCAACTGACTTTAATTCACTATTCTACTAAGAGTTTCAAATGTTAACAAATGGCGGCCTTGTTAGGCTTAGCATCACTTTTTAATTGTTAATAATTCTATAACTATTGCATGCAGATTAACTATTTTCATTGAAATATGATACCCGAAATTTTTTATGATTGTAATACCTCGTAATGTATGAATGTTTCTTTATTAGTAGAATGTAGTCATAAACCTACCAAACTGGTAATAAAACAGTTCAACCTTTAAGATTTCACTAAAACTTGTAGTAATTTGTATGTTAATTAAAGTCTACTTAAAATTGAACAGATACAGAAAAATACAATATTTTCCAAATATTTGCTTTATATGTATTAATAAAACGAGTTAAAAATTTAACCCTGGTCCATCATTGGAATACATTGATTATGTGCGGCTAATTGTTCGTTTCAAATATCCTAAAGAAACTTTTGAGTCAAATAATATTTTACAAAAGAATGATTCTTATTTTCTTAGTGGTTTAAATTAAAGCAAAGTTGATGTTTCTTATGAAGATATTACATTTTCTTAGACAGCTTTCTTATAAAATATGTGTAAATTTTCTCTCGTTTATCGTGATAACTTAGAGAATGGATTCAGATTTCATATGAATTGGGTTAAAATCTCCGTTACCTGCATACGAATGCACCAGTGTCAGAGAAATTTAATCTATCATAGTAGTATCCTAAGATAAATTCCATTCAAGATGAATCTTCCAAACACGTCAAAAAATTAGTAAATCAGCCATTTAGTAAAATTTGTTTCATATTGCTTAGAAGGCAATGTAAAAAAATGAGGAGTTCTTGAAAAATAACTGAAAAATTTTTATGATTAGCATAGCGGTAGCAATGTGTTATTAGACCATGGCCAAGATTATCAATGAGGAATTCTTCATCCAAAAAGTCTTTTTTTTTTTTTTTTTTTGAAAACATAATGATGTTATAGTTATTCGTAAATAAATTCTGTGGAAACTGAAAATTTAAAAAATTTATGTTCGAAAATTTAGTTGTGATGCAAGAAAAGGAAGTTTAAAGGATTAAAAATGAGGGTTCTCATGTAAACTTTCCGAAATGAAATCATGGAATTTTCAGGAAATATTCACTTATACTTTATAACTTGTTTGTAAATTTGTTAAGTCATTGTAATGAGTATATGTAAGATACAAAATGCGTTCGGAAGTGAAAATTAGCAGAAATATCATTATTTGGCAATGAATCAAATATCATTTGAAATGTGTGTGTGTGATTATGGCAAAGCCTCGAGGGCTATCTGCTTAAGAGGAGGGATGCCTTCTTGGAGGACTTTTCTAAGGGAAACTGGCTCGTATACACGTTACACATGGGGAAAACCACGAAAACGCCCATGCAGCCAGCCCGTTCGCGGGATTCGAACCTCGGACCGAACTACCAGTGTTCACCGAATTTACCGCTCGGCCGCTGGTGGGCCATTTGAAATGAAATGATTTGAAAATGACCGAAAAGTAGAAAAATATGTTGTATGCTATATGCACTGAATATCTTTCGCACTATCGCGATAAATTGAATGCCTCCTTAGTTTTTAAAAAAATCCATCCCCCAAAATTACATTACTGTGCAAATTTTTCACTATAAAGAAAACCGCTTTCTGGTGTTCCATCTTTCGTTCCCTACACATCCCCCACTAGGGCAGCAATCGCTGATTTCATTCTTGCGACAC